TCATTTTAAATCATTTTTTATCATAACCTTCATTTTGTGAATGAGACTTACATCGTAGTGAAATATTTAAACTCAGTGTCATGTTTACCAATACTGAGTACCTGAATGATTAGTTGATAAATTCGCTTATCGAACTTCATTCACATGTTTTGGTTACTTTCTTTACATCCCAAACGTAGTTCTATGTATTGAAGCAATGTCTGGATTAAGCATTGTGAACTAAGTAAACTGATGCATGCCTCGCCGTGTGGAAAGAACAATTTCTCGACCCCACTATGATGCAAACTTCGAATGAGTGAGTGACATATTTCCTTCAGTATCCCCTTAACTTATGCATATGTCTGATGTAATTTAATTGATATGACTAAGTGACCTGACACATGCTGACCTGATGAGATTAAAAATAGTTAAATGATACAAAAATGTTATTTAGTGTTTACAAATTCATATTTAAAGTTAATTTGCTGTTTCTCATGATCATGTATTAAAGGTAAGTTTGAAGAAAAACTTCAAATTCGGTTTTTACAAAATAAATTTTTTGACAGTTCCTATGTCTTGAAAATGCTCCATGCGACTCATTTTAAGTTCAAAGTGAATGATATTTGGGAGAAACTTTCCTGTTATATGTTACAATAGAACTGTGTATGCATTTTTGGATATGAGGTTATTAAGAATTTTAAACTTGTGATAATGTTTAACAAAAGGTGATATTTTTACGAAAACTCGGTTTAAATTCACAAAATTCCTTTTTAAAAATTTTTGATTCATCATATTCAATAACGGATACACAAAATCTTTTGTTAAGTCTTTATAACTAACTTAAAGGAAAAATTAGTAAAAAATATTGAAAATTAAAGCGCAAGGAGCATTTTTAATCTTTAATTAAAATGATTAATTATTTGTTTTAGAAATTTTAAATTTAACTAAATTGAAATTTGGAACATATATTTTATAAACTAATGTTATAATATGTATATGTGTAAAATCTTTTTTTGAACACACAAAAAACCTAAAAAACTAATTTTTAAACTCCACCGTCCCCTTAATCTATTTATTTATTTTGTTAATGTTAATACTTAGTCGTACAAGCATTATGGTAACATCTGCGGAACACGAGTAGATGGAATTCTAATTAACGAAAAAGTAACAATAAAAATAATTTTGAACGTTGTTGAAAAATGATAATAGATGGCGCTAGGCATCTGCTAGAATAAACGAAATACCGAACGGAGAAAGTAGCTCGCAGACACAGTTGGCTACCCATTATTCTTATTCAGGACATCAGATCAAAAATATTTCAATGAAACACTTTTACCTTTTCCTTTCATTTTACAGCGCACTGAATGGAAATAGATTATCGCTAAAGATTCTTCGAACTACAGGGCCGGCTCTAGAGCGATGCAACCGGAGATTTCGTAAAGGGCGGCGAAATGCTTAGAAAATAGAGAAGCAACGATAAACAAGATTTGATGGTAAAATAGTATTTAGAATTTACGAAGGAAGCTGAATTTACGAAAGACAAAAATCGTTTTGAATTTAGGGAGGTGAAAGGTAGCAAAATATAAGATCTGCGAAGATAGCATAGAGCGGCAAAAATGCTTGCCCTGTCGAGCAATTTATATAATCATTTCCAAAATGCTACATCGAGGGGGTGGGTGGAACTTACGTAAGTTCATAACATATTTTAAATTCTTTACTACAAAGTACAACCAGTTATTTAAATAAATATTTATTTAAATCAGAAAAAAGAATACTTTCTTATTTCTGGCCTTACTACTATATTATTTTAATTATATTTTGACTTCTTATTTAATTATATTTTGACTTTCTTGAATGACTTCTAAAGATGAAATATTTTTTCCCAAATAAAAAAATTATTATGGTTGCTATTAATGGAATCAGAGTAAAATTAGATTTTATTTTTCATTGCTTTTCAAATACGGTTTCGTTTCAATTGTTTTTGGTTAATGTCAAGATATATGTGTAAGTATTAATTTGCTTTGTGATTTAATGCACTTGTATTTTTCTCCATCAGAATATTTCTTAGCAACAGCCAGCTGATAATTTTTTCAAATGTCTAGCAACATCCGCTTCATATGGGGTGGATTTCGAAGTAGGCTAATAGCGACATTTTGATTTTGAAATATAAACCGAAATCAGTTCTTATGCAGATTTTCTACATTAATTCTATAAAATGAATTGTTTTATGACAACTTCGACTAAACTCTGCTATATTTTGATCTGCTCATTGATTAACACTCCAATATTCGAGCTATTGGAATCATAATTCTGTTTTCTTACAATTTTAAATTCTTTCTTACGAAGAAAACCATCCACATTCCTTCATTTACTTTAAAAATGCAAAGACATACATTGTCTCAAAAAAGTGATGGGACACTTATGCTTTACAAAAGGAAACTTCAATAAAATAAATTTAAAAAACATGTAAACTTTTTTGTGGGTGTGTTTCATACTTAAACTTAGTAACAATTATTACATAACATACATTTTCTCAAAATATTAAAATATTAATTTAATAAAAATACAATTGTTTAGAACGGAGCAGAAAATGGCTCACTTAAGTGATGGGACACTACGTAATATGCAACAAAAATCGTCTGAAGTAAGCAATAAAAATATCTTTTGGGGTATTTATTTTTACTCAAAAGCAATTGCCAATAATTTATAAAATCGTCTGCAGTATTTCTCTCCAGTTTGTTTTGGAATTTTTGTGTTTTTTAGCTCTGTGAAGCCATGAATGCTAAACGAAAAGAAACTTTGCCTAGAATTCGAAAATTAGTTATTAATTTGCATACTGAACGTGGAAAATGTATTAGAGAAACTACTGAAACAGTTAACCTCAGTCATTCAACAGTTTTCAATATCATTAAACGATATAAAAGAATCATATGATTCAGGATAAAAGAAGACCTGGCCGACCATCGAAGCTATCCAATGGAATAAAGCGAATTATCGTTCGAAATATTTAAAAAAAATCCAAGAATGAGTGCTCCTAAAGTTGCAGCTGATTTAAAAGCCTTATATGGAGTAATTGTTAATTCTGAGACTATTAGAAGAGTAATTCGATTTGCTGGATATCACGGTAGAGCAGCAGGAAAAAATTCTTCGTAAGTGAAAAGAATAGAAAACTCACACTGGCTTTCGCAAAATCCAACATTAAGAACTCTGATTACTGGAATGAAGTTATATTTGCTGATGAGAGTAAATTTAATATATTTGGTTCTGACTGTAGAATCTTGGTGTGTAGAGAAAACCCAGGAAAGAATTTCGCAAACAGAACTTGGTGCGAACAGTAAAACATGGTGGAGGAGGAGTTATGGTATGGGGGTGTATGTCGTCCGCTGGAGTTGGTAATCTTGTTTTTATTGACAGTATAATGGATCAGGACAAGTATATTGACAATTTAAATAAAAATTTGAAATCTTCAGCACGAAAATTGAACCTTCATAACGATTTTAAATTCTACCAGGACAATGACCCCAAGCACAGTGCTTTGAACGTTAGACTCTGGCTGCTGTATAACTGTCCTGAAATAATAAAAACACCCCCACAATCTCCACAATTAAATCCCATAGAGAAAATTTGGCAAGAATTGGAATCAAGAATTCGCAAACACACCATTTCTTCAAAACAACAATTAAAATCGGTGCTTCAAGAAGAATGGGGTAAAATCACTCCAGAAATCACAAAAAAATTAGTCGAATCCATCCCAAGAAGATTAAATCATGTTTTAAAAGTAAAAGGAAATCCAACAAAATGTTAAAACCTTTTAAAAAGTAAAATATTTGGATAAATATTTGATGGAAAAGTAAGTGTCCCATCACTTAAGTGAGCCATTTTCTGCTCCGTTCTAAACAATTTTATTTTTTATTAAATTAATAGTTTAATATTTTGAGAAAATGTATGTTATGTAACAATTGTTACTAAATTTAAGTATGAAACACACCCGCAAAAAATTTTGCATGTTTTTTAAATTTATTTTATTGCAGTTTCCTTTTGTAAAGCACAAGTGTCCCATCACTTTTTTGAGACACTGTATGTACTTTAAAAAAACTTTTATGAAATATAGGTACTTTTTAATTTTTTTTTATTGTGAAGAAAATTTGAAAGCAATCTTGAAGTTTTAAATTGATATTCACTTAATGAAGTTAAGCATCCCGACATAAAAAATGAACTCATTCTTAATTTTAGAAAAGGCTAAATTAGTTAAGTGAAACTCGAAGTTATGGCATCTGAATATCATTCAAATATGTCATTAATTTGCTAATAATTATCCCAGATATTATTCGTGTGTTTACCCGTATTAAACATTCCTATTCAATCCAGTTGTTAATTATTATTGTCATCATCATCATCATCGCAGCGCAGTTTAGAACATGATTCTCAGGTACGAAAAAAAGTGTCTTTTATTTATCATTAGCTTTGTGTCATTAATACAGACACTTGTATTGAACAATGAGGCTGAAGTTTTTATATCGCTTTCTTGCAAATTATAGCAAATAATTATATAATGAAAGAAACTGCTAAAATGTTTATACTGTATATATTAAATTTTAGCTGGTTAAGAATATTATTTCTCTTTGCTTTAGTGTCATTTGTAATTTGAAGATGAGTGTAGGTGGCCATTTTTGCTATTTAATTTATTTTAGAATTAGATAAAGCTAAGAGAGCTGATAAAAAGTAGGAATTAACACTGAAAATTTTCAAATGATTTATGTTTGAGCAATTAAATCCGTTCTGATTAGTTAGAATTAAATGAGTAACTCCAAGAAATGATGTAACTTTTCTAACTTCCATTTCATGTGTACCTTCATACCATTGTATTCTTTATTTTCGATATTAGGCTCTGCTTTAGCCATTTTTTTCCTTGCGTGAATTATCAAATCTTAAATCTGTCTTAATTATCAATCTTTAATTCCATCTTAATCAACAGATAGTTCCCATCTTATTACATAAAAGAAAACAAAACAAAACTGGAGTATATTGTAAATAAAATATTTTATTCGATAGCAACAAATAATAATGGCTCTATATATAAAATCTCTGAAAATGGCTATGTACAATTGAGGAAGGTTTCTTGAAGAGAGAATGCTTAACCGTGATGATGGCCGTGATGATGATGACATTTATGACCATGCATCTCGCTCAACATCTTGGCGACCATTCCTGCTGCCAACATCTCTGTGATTCTGGATCCTCCTCCATGTTTGTTGCCCTTTCCTCCTCCCATTCCCATCATTCCTCCACCTCCTCCACCCATGCCAGGAGAGGCCAAGCAAATGTTGCCCAGGAGGGCGATGGCTAAGACGATGGTGAAGAAAACTCGGCTGTTCATTTTTGACTAGGTTTTCCTGGAAGAAAGAAAAATATACATAAGCACAATCTGGCATCTTACATGAAGCAATAATTTACGTAGGTTAGAAAACTGTTAAAGAAAAATATTCCATTGCGAAATGTTCAAGGACAATAAACTGTTCAGAATCTGTGAATACGTGATCGATTTTTCCATGTTTCGGGCTTAACCTTTAAATATTTACCCAAGTACGGTGCAGGCGATAATATGCAGAATTATCAATTTAGATAAATTTCGCTACCTTGAGAAATATTATCAAAGGAATAATGAGACAAAGAGAAAAAAGACATCTTGCTATTTATATTCCACTACTGCAAAATTTATGATATACTTAGTATCTACTGGATATAAAATTTATCACTATTTTTCTGTTAAATGTGTGTTTTCTAGTTTTTCTCTAAGGAAAGTTCTTATTTCATTAATTTTGTCATAATTGTGTCAGGCTGAATTTTCACAATTTTAGCTCCAAAAGTCTTAAAATAAAAAAGTTAAGAAACCAATTCCATTCATTCTTCAGATAGTATAGAATTTAGCTCTTGGAATAATTTATTTAATAAAAAAGGGAAGTAGACATGAAAATAAAATACAGCATTTTGCTTAAATTAAAGCAGGGTTTTATAGAACGATCATGGAGATACCAATTTGAGCGAAATTGTAATTGTCAAGTTATTATAATCTAAGGTAAAGTAAATTTAGCAGCGCATATGTAATTAAAGTATTTTTTATATTTCTTTAAAGACAGGAGGCTGTCAGATAACTTGAGGTAAATGAAATCATTCTGAATTTCAAATATCTAAACAGTGATAAAATTAAACTGATATGTATGCAAATCATCGATTTTTTATATAATATTTAAAATTAGGCTTAAGGTAGCTCTATGTAAGGCAGACACTGGATGTTCCAAGCTTAATACCGCACAGAACCTAAAATTCCCTCTTGCTTATGATGAAGCATTTATAACTTAATATATCCAATGTAAAGCATTACGTTAGCATAGTTTATGTAGAGTGGCAACTTGCTTGCTGACAGAAGTATTGTATTTGCTGTCTCATTCTTTCAAATTAAAACTCTGAATTGCTTAACTAATGGAGCAGATTAAAATTAATAGATCAATGTTTTGTTTCTTAATTTTTTAATGATATCGTTAACTGATGTAATTAATAATATATCTAAATTATGCGATTTATGATGTAGCTAACTAATAATTTCTAAGATACTCGCCTTCATATTATACTGAACAAATTTATTCCTAACGCCATACATTACGTACTTCAATGCAGAAAAATTGGTCGCAAACTGCCTAATAGGCAGATTTTTATTTACTAATCCTATATTTTATAAATTTGCCTCTTTTTTTTTAATTGTTATCAAATTTAGACGTTACTAAAGAGAGGAGTTTGAGATACAATTGTATTTCTGGACAATTTCAGATAATCTCTGTATTTTTCTACTATTTTATTTAGATTGGTTTTTGGGGAGAAAATTAATAATTCTGTGATTTAGACATACATTAAATAAACATATAAAATTTCTCTATGCTGTATTGTTAGATTGGTATTTACGAGAAAAGTCAAATGGGTGGTTAAATTATGGGATCCAAAAATATTTTAAATGATTTTAAATATCTGAAATTTTAAATTTATAAAGGATAAAATATTTTATGTACTGCTAAACTACGATATGTTCATTTTGCACGTGTGTGTGAAGAAAATGTAACAGTAACATTAGCAAACACAATGAAACTGCGAAATGGAATGCTTAGTAAAGCAAGTTAACGTGATAGTAACCGTATGCACAATATAAATTAATATAAAAAAACAAAGCGAATTAAAATTTTAAAAAATTGAACAGATTTAATGAATATAGAATAAGTCATAATAACTTAGGTAATATAGAATAAGTCAACTGTAGCTTCTAGCAATTTAGTTTTGAAATTTTATATGCATTTTTCATATATATATATGTAATAATAAAATTCCATAATCAAGAATACACTTAAAATTCTAACAGTGGCGACGTTCTCTCTTATTTGAAAGTACGTGGAATTAAATCCACAGCCCCGTAGTCAAGTGTTTTTTCCGCCTTTTCTACACGTACAGTTATAGAATGTTCTCGAGATATTTAAAGCGAACTGGAATGGCTGACGAGGCTGACGTCATTTCTTGGAAGCTCCGCCTTTCCAGAGGCTATAAAAGGACTCGCAAAAGAATATCGGGGTCTTTTTCTTTAATGTAACGATGCAGTAAAACTTAATACAAAAAGTTATTAGTAGTTATTTTTTATTTACTCCGGAGATCTTAATTTTTATAACTGCTATTTTCTCCTGAAATATAATAAATGGATCCTGTTTTTTAAACTTATCGTCTGATAAGTTAAGCTACGACTACATCTATGATTCTTCACCAATCTATTTATTCCGGACAAAAGCTGGTACATCACATACATATGTAGTCGAATTTATGCGTGTTGCTCCTTCCTGATTAAATTATATTTTTTTTCTGTTAAAACAGTTTAAAATAAACTATAATTACAATTACTATTGGGTATATTTAAGGAACAGTGATTAAATCTCCACTGAACACGCTTTCATCAATTTAAAACTAATTTAATGAACTATTATTTAATTGGTTCATTTGAAATCTTATTAATAATGAGTTATGTCATGGTGGAGAATATATATTATGTATCATGGCTATACGTATATTTTAGTTTCATTCCAATATAAAAATAAAGTATTTACATAAAAGCATGGTATGTTGTTTACCACAAATATTACTTTAAATATTGGCACATAATTCTTATAGATTATATTAGGAATCAGTGTAAGCAAATACTTTTGTAGCATATTTTTCCTACAGTATAAAAGTAAATAAAAAGCTTTTAGGCTGCGACTTGTTAAAAAATTAAATACATACATAGACACTAAAAATTGTGATATGACTGGGCGGGAAGAAATGCTTAAAAATAAATTTCTTGTAGAAATAAATCAAGTAGTATTTTGGGCTAAGAATCTGGAAATTACAGTTAAGATACTGTATTGAACATTTAGCAAATTGCGATCTGGAACGTTTTAAAAATCCAGTAACTCATATTTAATTACTCTAAGGTCAGAAAGATAAAGAATACGTAAGTACCACCAAAGCGCCTAATTTAGGGAAGGGAAGAATATTGAATTTATAAATATATCAATAGATTATTTCATGCGTATTAAATTTTCATTTAAATTTTAATAGTTCTAATAAAAGATGTTAGAACGGTTTTAAAATAAAAATAAAAGTAAGACAATTTTGGCAATGATTTTTAAGTGTAGCTCTTTGCACTGGGGACTAAAACTGGATTAAAAGTGATGAAAGGGTTTTCAGGTCGAAATTAAAAATAGGAATACAATACTGAAATAACAATTACCGTAACTTGCTAAATAAATTAAAAATTTGACTTGAAATAACTTAGATTTTTCGAGATCTCAAAAAGGTTTTATTATTTTTTAAGAGGAGAAAAAAGAAACTTTTTTTCACTGCAACTTAATTCATAATCCACATTTTTGTGTAAGTCCAATCACTCAGAAACAGCTCTCTTTTAGTAAGAAGTAAAGAAGTACTCACGTTGGCTCTGCAAGAGAAGAGATGAGAGTGCAAGCTGAAGCGAATGCGAAATGTGATCTTGTGTGGTATTCACAGCCTTTATATACAAAACTGTCTTTAATGAAAGCGTTCACCTTTGTTTTACTGCTTCCCTTTCCTTTAGGTTTCAGGCGATTTGTAATCCGCCTTCACCCCCTGAAGGAAAACCGCAGAATAAATTAACTGATTGAAATAAGCAGAATAGGTGACCTTGCCACCTCCGGGGTGTTCTCCAAGAAACTGGGGCGGAGGTGCACAGTTAGTGCCAACGGATATATCTGTATGACCAATGGCTAAAATGTGGCGTCCCACCCCTTGTACCTATATCTGCATCAAGTTTGGGAGCACTTTGTCTTACCTAATTTTAATTATATTCTGACGATGTTTCCTCGTTGGTTTCAAAACTTTCAGTGTTTTCAGTTTTTCTCTGTTTCCAGAACTTTCTCAAGTATCTCAACCACAAATTTATTTTTACACGCACAAATAAATAAATAAAATTAAATTAAAATAAAGAAGCATTCCCACATAAATCATAAATTTCAGTTCAAGAGCAATATCGCACAATGGTTTTAAATTGAGCATATCTTTAAAATTTCCGATACAGAGTCTTGTGCGCTGGAGATAAAAATGTTTCTTTTTCCGTACAACGTTGCCATTGCTCGCTTTGAAATCTTTGAGTTTCTTAATAAAAAATTCGTTAAAGTTTTACAAAATATGAAATCGAGATAATAAAACAAATTCCAAATTTCAAATTTGGGCTTCCACATGCCCATATTCGCAGTGGGATTACGACATTTAAAATTCGATGGCTTTTGTGTACCGTTGTTTTATCACAATGCGAGAAATATACATACATTTATGCATATTTTTCATTATTTAATTTCTTCAAATATAATGCATGATTCTAACATTTGGTGGCAACAGCTTAAAAAGTGAAACGGACATTTATAGTAAACCAACGCAAAATCGCAAAACGAAAACAATAGTTCTTCAGTGACAAACAAATTTCAAATTCAAATTAGGGCTTCCACATGCCCATATTCTATGGAAGATTACGTCATTCAAATTTTGATGGCTGTAGGTACCGTTGTTTTATTACAACGCAAGAAACATACATACATTTATGCAGATTCTTCATTATTTGATTTCTTTAAATATTAAAGCAGAGCGATAATATATGGTGGTAACGATTTGAAAGTGATACATGCTTTTAAAGTTTTCAACGGAAAAATGCCAAAACGAAATTAATAGTCCTTCAAAGCAAATTGCCCCTTTGGACTAATAAATAAGTAAAATACACCTTAAAGATTTTATCTGTACTTTTGAATTACTTTTTATATACTTTTAATCAAGTTAGATTGCAATGAGTCGATACAGCTGATTATTAATGATATGAAATGTTCTGTATCTTAAACGTCTGGGAAATTAATTCTTAAATTAATAGGTTTCATTGATTGTTTTGATCAAAAGTGTTTTACAATTTTAACTGATATTTATATACTAAGAGCAGATCGCTATATTTTTAATAATTTTTGTATGTTTTAATTTTTCAGACATTAATGATAAACTCTTGGAAATGTTAGATTACATACTGAAGTTTTCAAATTGCAGTTTTTGTTTATTTATTTATATAAGCTCATTGAATAAAAACCCTCTTTTTAGAGGATTATTCTTTTCAGTAAATCCAGCTAGCTTCTTGACAAGCTAAGTATTGACGCTTGATGGAAATATTTGTTGCAAGCCTTTGATGCAAACAAGCTAAGGATATAAATGCACAGTTACATCTTGATTAATTAAGTCTCTTTTTATTAATTAAGTAAAATAATATCATAAATTTCGTTTCCAATTTTTTGGCATTGCTATTTTTGAGGTCTCATTTTGGAAACGTAATTTTATGTTCTATGTCGTAAATTTTTAGGGGGATTAATTCTTATGATAATCACAGCAGTTTTGCTTAAAATTGCTTTAGACATTAAATAGGAATCAACATAAGAAAATTAGATTTTTATTTTTATAAAGTTTTAATTTTTAAAAATTTTAAATGTTTTGGAAAATTTGAAAACTGTAATACGATACTCATCAGTTTTAGACCATAATCTCAAAATGTTTCAGACAGCATATTTTTCAGACTGCATTTTTTTAACTAATGAAATTTATATCATAAGGTTAACATTTTCCAATGAATAATTTTATGTGGGTATAAAATAAATAAAATCTGTTACCTTTAGAATTAAATGTCTTTTATCAAGGAGTGAATACTATTAGTTTTTTAGTATAGTGTAAGAATATGGCAAAGAAGTGCACTGGGTTTAAATAAATGTAATTTATAAGCCGTACAGATGATAGAACATCCTGAAAATTTTAACAGAAAAGCTTTGTTTGAAATTAAAATCAGTATGAAGTAGCACTGTTGAGATATCGGACTTTTCCAAACCACAGGGAAGTGTCAAAGAAAGAAGAATCACATATTGGCAAAATTCTCCAGTAACCTATGAATCTTTAAGCACAGCTATGAAAAATCAAATATCCATGTGAAAGAATTTGTAGTGAAACTCCGACTTCGATGTGTATAATATTTAAATAAATCTAAATGTAAATTTTAAAATTAATGTTAATTTTCTTCGATAAATTTCGATAACTCAAAAATTATTTTTGTTCCTTTCATTTTACGATTACTGAATTTCGATTGCATTTTGTTTGTTTGAAAATAATAATCATAATGGTATGGAAAACGCTGGCAGTATATTCGCTAAAAGACACGGCAAATCAGCTGCCATGATTGCAATTGTTTTAGAAATTGCTTCAGAGATTATAATTTACAATATTAAACGTTTACTTATTTAAAAATAAGATTCCAGTTTTAAAAAAAAGTATTAAAACTGAAATGGACAAGTTTCATAGAATTTCGCTCTAAATACATAAAAACTGATCTGATGAAGTTGTCATAAAGATGAAGCAGTCAGATGTAGTAGCAGTTGGGACATAGAGATGAAGCAGTCGGATGAAGTAATCTTAGAGGCCCGGTGGGGCTGTGGCTAGCGCGTTGCGTAGCGGCACCACATATCCGAGGCTCGATCCTCGGGCTTTGATTCAGTTCTTCATTCTTTGAGTGGGTCATTGAAATGAGTACCAAGTTAGCTTGTGGACTAAAAAAAAAGATTCCTGCGACAAGCTGACCACTTGTCCAAGGCATGTAATCATGCATGCCGCGGCCCAAGGACAGGAACGCAGATATCGGGCCACTGCAGGCAATGGCCCACTAGGACTATTGCGCCATTGAGTTTGGTTTAATTTAAAATTAATCATAAAAATAAATTATTATATGAATTTTATGGTAAAATGAGAACACCAAGAGAAATATATAAAATGTCTACAAAAGAAATCTACGAGTAGAACTTCATGTTGTGTCCAGAAGAAAACTACAACAATCAACAGCTTGCTTTTTTTTTTACACTAAACAAAACTGTAATTTCGAACATTTGTGAAAAATAATGCTAGATGGCGCTAACATCTGCTGCAAGAAACGAATGGAGAAAGTAGCTTGCAGACACGGATGGCTACCTTTACTCTTCAATTTGGGACATCAAGCGAAAAATCTTTCAGTGAGAACATTTTCAATTTCGGATTGTTGAAGTTTGACTGTGCTTTGCTGTAGATTGCATATCTTAAGAGAACTATTTTCAAGATGATAATCCTAATGATATTGAAAATCTTGCCAATTTATTCGCTAAAAGACATGACAAGTTAGCTGCCACGTTTGCAATTTCTATGGAACTTTCTCCAATGCCTACAATTTACAATATTAATAAATATTTAGTTGTCTAAAACTAAAATTTCTATTTTATGAAAAAAATATATGTTCTCGCGCACTTTCCGCTCTCTTTTTTAACTAATTTTATGGTTCAAAAATCGAGATGAGAAAACAATGCGAGTCATTTAATTTCCGAAGGGCATGGTTAAGGTAAGAACATGACAAATGAAAAGTGGTCATGGATTAACTACAGGTAACTATCATAATATCATTTCCTTAAAACAAAACTACATTCCAATAAGAGTACATAATATAGAATATTTAAAATAAGCTTTTCAAAACATCGATGCGAAACTCTAAGAAAAAAATTGCGGTGATATTATTTCATCTTAAGTTAACGCCACTTAAAGACTTTCACACTTATTTACAGTACTTCCTCAAGTATTTTTCTCCTTTTTTTTAAAGTAATTTTATAACTCGAAAACTTAGAGGAGAAAAATATGCAAATTATTTCATTTGAGAAAGACGTGGTTACAGTTAATATATAACAAATGAAAAGTAGTCATGGATAAACTATAGGTAACTGTTGAAATATTATTTCGTTCAAAAGAAACACAAATTCCGGTAAGAATGCGGAGTAATATTAAGTTTGCCAAATATCTAATAAGGTATTATCATTTCTACTTCCCTGTTACTTGAATCTCGCCCTCCTTAATTTTGCCCTTCCTCCTCCTTATTCCATAAATAATTAAGAATCAACCATGAATAATTAAAGAAAGTGAATGTGTAGCTGACTCAGCGAAATCATCGACTGAATGTCAGTTTGTTTTGCTTCGCTGTGATGAGTCAGTACTTGTATTAGTCTGCCGTAAAATGAAACGTTTCGGCGTCATCTTCACAGATAGTTTGCGAGGGTTTGCCTTTAATAATAGTTTAGGCTATCCTGCCCCGTGAACACAATCACACTACAGGTCTACTCCCCCTTTGGGCACGTCGTGGAGGTTCAACCTCCACTATTACCCTCCAAGGGAGCAGCGCACCACCTGGATAAGACACCAGGCAGCACCGGTCGTCTAATGCTTCTACCAGTCGCTTGGGCGAGCCCGTCGCAGCGGGACATCGTCCCAGCGAACCCGGGGAATAACCCCGGGCTAGTAGTACCACGCCGCGCTAGGACGTGCCAGACTCCGAGGCCGCCAATAAGTGACCTTTCCCAGAGCCTTCAGAACCACCAAGTTCATAAATTTTATACCCCCCGTGGCCGAGACTGCCTAGGTACAGATCCTAGCCAGTAGCTTCGCAGAGACAGTAGCTTCGACCCCCGGGGGGGAGTGTTTGCCTTTGTAAGACAAAAACTGTCATCACTATGTGGA